TCCATGAACAACGGGAGGACAGTGCCACCGGGCTACTTGTCATTGCTTGGACTCAACTGTTCTTCCTCCACATCTACAAATCCAGTCTAAGGAGGGAGGTAAAGACTAAATCTCTTCAAAATGCAATCTCTTCAAACTTGTTCTCTTAGGGGTGGGACTAAGTAGAGGGTCTCAGGATGGGGGCCCGGGGGTTGCCAAGCCCAGGAAAGGTCTTGATACTAATAAAGTGGCTAAGGAGGAGTGGGAGGGCTTGGGCATTTTTTTTAAGGATTTTTAGGGGGTTATTAAGAACCTTGCCATTCCCGTGAGCTCTCATCCCACAGTGCTCACAGCCAGACATGAAGTGGGAAGATTTCTGGAGGAATCCAGAAAACTCAAAACAAAAGACCAAAGATGTTGTGATGAGAAGCTGCCCAAGGAAGTAGCCGCCCCGACCAGCTGTGACATCCCGGTCCCTAAAGCACCCCTGTAATCATGCTTCAGCGTGGGATGAGCTGCAGAGCGGGCATCCACGGAGAAGGAGAAGGCTCGGTGTCTTGTACTCACTGACGAACTCTGGGCATAGTGTGTTTATATCTGAAACAGGGAGCCGCTACTATTTTTCACGTTTAAAAAATTTCATTTATTTTTATTTTATTTATTTATTTTTTTATTGAATCACCATGAGAGCAGTTACAAAGCTTTCAGGTTTAAGTCTTGGTCATACAATGTAACACCCGTACCTTCACCAGTACCCGTTCTCCACTCCCAAAACCCCAGTATACCCCCATCGCACACCCTCCTCCTACCTATGGGGCAGATGGTTTCCACAGTACTCTCTCTCTACTTGATCACATTCAATATTTTGACACCAGACCCACCATTATTAAATTTGGGATTTTACCCCAACACTCAGATCTGCTGAAAAGGCAACTGTAGGCAATTTGTTTTCTATTGCTGGTTATGAATTACATATGAGGTCGCATGGCTGCAGTAGTGGCCGCGTGATTTTGAAAATCCGAAATTGTAACAATTAAATCTGGAGGGATTTCTGCCAAAACCTGCTGGGTTCCAAGATTTGTTCCTGAGTCTCTGGGATCGTGGCCATTAAGAAGCTTGATCAGGAGCCAGAAAGGCCATTCATGGGCGGCAACTCGGGGTCTCGTTGGGATGGGGAAGAAAGGGCCGGCTCCACCCCCATCCCATGAGGCCCCACGTGTCTCCTCACTGAGGGCCCAAACCTGACTGTCCAGTAGCCTCAGAAGGATGGTGGCCACCGAGCCGCATAGGGGGAGCAGGCAGAGGGACAACACCCTTTCCCCCCTGGGGTGGCCCGGCGACAGTAACCTACTGTGGTGTCTGGATGCATTTCTGCCAAAAACCACTGGGTTCCAAGATTTGTTTCTGAGTCTCTTGGATCATGGCCATTAAGCAGCTTGATCAGGAGCCAGAGAGGCCGTTCGTGAGCGATGACTTGGGGTCCCGTTGGGGTGGGGAGGAAAGGGCCGGCTCACGTTTGAAGAATTTTAATGGGGAAAAATTACCCTAGAGGTCCTGTTGGAAGATGACGTTCTTTCTAGAGAATGAGCGCAAAGTTATGAAACAAGGGAAAAGGGGAGTGAGAAGAACAGGAAATGAGACAACCATTTCATGAGATTCATTAGTCAGGCTTTTGAGCATAAAAATAGTAAAAACGAAGGATCTGATGATACATGATCATTAGTGGTGGTGGTGGTAGTTACTGTGAATCTCCCAAGCTTGAATGCCGGACACCTTTCCAGATGAGGGAACAGGGGTTTCGGGTTAGACCTGTCCCTCTCAAAAGAAATAATCTTATATGTCCCTTTGTTTTGGCCACACCCAGTGGTGCTCAAGGGTTCCTCCTGACTCTGCACTCAGAATTACTCCCGGTGGGCTCGGGGGACCCTTTGGGTGCCAGGGATCAAACCTGGGTTGGCGGTGTGCAAGGCAGGAGAACCCTACCTGCTGTACTATCACCCCGGCCCCTGAAATTTTTTCATTAAAAAATTACTACTTTAGTAATAATCGTATTTCTCAATAAGAAATCATTGGGAAACGGAATAAAAAATATATATATACAGTTATTAGAGGGAAAGTCTAATCAAATGGCGAGAAATCAGAATGTGACCAGCCTTCTCACTGGCATTTAAAACGACAGAATTTCTAGCCTCAGAACCCGCAGCTAGTCAGAGTAAGGGTGAAATTTGAAGGTCAGGTACATCTTTAGGCAAAGGAGAGAGCAGAGTCTCTGTAGCCAGGGGCTGATGCGACCCCAGGACAGACGGACAGCTGCCTGACTGTGACCTAGGACAGACAGACGACTGCCTGACTCTGACCCAGGACAGACGGACGGCTGCCTGACTGTGACCTAGGACAGACAGACGACTGCCTGACTCTGACCCAGGACAGACGGACGGCTGCCTGAGGCGACCCCAGGACAGATGGATGTCCGCCTGACTGTGACGCAGGACAGATGGATGGCTGCCTGACTGCGCCATGATGGCAGTGCTCAGATTTGGAAAAAGATTTCATGGGTTAATCGGGAATCGAAGATGTTGAGAGTATACAGTGTAAGTAGGGAGAGAGCATGAGCTAAGATGATTTTTGAGAGGAATTGCTTCATCCTGTGTCTGTGCTGTTCCATGTCTGTTGCTGAGGGGCCGGGGCTGTACCTCGATGGTAGACTATCAAATCATCATATGAGGTTCTCGCACAGATCCTAATAGAACCCTGGCACCCGGATATATCCGGATATAGTTATATACATACATATATATATATGTATAGTTGGTATTTTTACAAAAATTGTCACATATCACAAAATCTTTTTCTAAATCAGGGATCAAATCACGGACCAGATCAGGTACAGCAAGTAGGTCTCGCACACAGCCAACCCACGTTCCATCCCCTGCACCCCATATAGTCCCCTGAGCCCGCTAGGAGGGACCCCTGAGCACTGCCAGCATGACCCCAATAGCAAATAAGCAAACTGTGCAGAATAAAGTTAGATGTCCTTCTCCAACAAGTAATTGAGCAGTTTAAAACCCAATGGGATTAAGTAGAATAAAGGACACAAGAAAATACCCATTCTCTTGGGTTACCAATGAGGAAAATGATTATGAAATGCCCTAAGAGAGCTCATACTTTTTGTTCTCAGAGCTCATTGTTTTAGCCAGAATTATTCAGTTTCTTGAATTCTGTAGAATGCCTGACAGGCACTACCAAGATATGTATGTGTATGCTTTATTGCTGTGTTATAAAAAAAGAAGTAAGCCATGAATTACCAAAGTAAAATTATATGCCCATATAATACAATATAAACCATACTACGAAAGAATATAAAATGCCTTAAAGATACATATATGTGTACTTTCTTACTGCATTATTAAAAACAAGTAAATTATTGATCATAAAATTATAAATCCATATAATATAAACCATCTTATGAAAGAAGAATATATAGCACTGAAAACAACGAATAGGGGTCAGAGGGATAGTCAGAGTAAGGTGCACCCCCCAACTCCGTTTCTGTCTGGTACCATGTATGTCCCCTGGGTACCACTAAGAATGATCCCTGAGCACTGAGGAATAAGCCCTGAGCACAGATGTAGGAGTAAGCTCTCAGTGCCACCAGGTGTGGTCCAAGTCAGATCGTCCTCTAACCCCATAATAAAAATAAATTTTGAGTAAATAATGCCAATTACAAAGTAGTAAGTAAAGTTTCAATTACATTCTCTTCACACAAGACTGTCTTTATATATTATTCCATGTTCATATTGTTCTATAATTTTAATTTTCCATAGTAAATATATTCAGGATATAGAACTCTTTAATATTGTTTTGTATTTTTTGGGTTATAAATGTGTCCAAAATTGGTTGAAAAGTCCTCCTGAGGATCCTCCCAGGAGGGGAGATGCATGTCGAAAGTGGACTATGGACTGAACATGTTTGCCACTCAATGCCTCTTTTGCAGACCACAACACCCAAAAGGAGAGAGAGAACACAGGGGATTGCCCTGCCACAGAGGCAGGGGGGGATGAGGGGGTGGGGGTGGGAGGGATATTATCCATGGTGGTGGAAAATGGGCACTGGTGGAGGGATGGGTATTTGATCATTGTATAATCAAACCCAAGCACAAAAAATTGTAAATCTACAACTGTACCTCATGGTGTTTCACTAATAAAAAAAAAATTAAAAAGAAAAAGAAAAGTCCTCCTGAGAAATGTCAAGGCATTTTCTAGCAATAAGATAATGTATGTAGAGGAAATGAAGGAAGTTTGTCTTGTGGATTCACTCCTGAACATGAAATAATTGCATTCGAAAATGGTTGTTTTTTGCTTTTTTTCCAGAAGTAAAATTCTTTTTCAAAATTTTAGCTTTCTTTTTCTCTGAAATCTCCCAGGTATTTAATTACCATTTCAGTGACACGGGGAGTACCACTTTTCTCCCTAGAGTTCTCGTTTTCAAAGATTAGCTTTCAGGGTAGAACTTTTGCCTCCCATTCATAGTGTCCAGGCCCTCAACATCTTAACCTGGCAGAAGGACCCAGCGAAGTTGTAAATCTTCCCACCCAGACCACACTTGATTATTGTATGATGGGAAAATTAAACGTGAATAAAACAGCTCGAGCGTTAGGGTGTTCTTGGAAGAATAAACACAAGTTGGAAGTCTTCTGTGGATAGCGCAAAGTACAGGAAGGCCATCCATCATGCAGACATCAGACGAATGTTCTCCCAGGCCACCGGGGCCCCCGGCGCTCCCTGCAGTAAGCGGCTTATTCCATTACGGTTCCTTTGCATTCAGTTTAGAAAAGTGAATTCCGTGGCATCTCAGATTCCCAAAGGTCTGGCAAGTTCTTACTCCTGTTTTAAAAGATAGGCTTTGAACAGACCGAGCTCAAGGCCCTGGAGAGAAATTTCAGCTTCTGTGAAATGGGCAGGACCTCCCGGGCTCACCCCCCCCCCCCCCCCCCCCACTGACTCTCCTCCTTCTCCACACAGGAAACGGTGAAGGCGGCAATAATGGAAGAGCAGAAACGAAGCGAAAAGGCTGTGGAAGAGGCCGTGAGAAGAACGAGAGACGAGCTGATAGAGTATATAAAGGAACAGAAAAGAGTAAGTCTCCTCCGACCCCAGTCAGCCCCACGCAGTGTCTCTGGTGTCAGATGGAGGAGTCTCTAAGTTCATTTTCCTGCTGCGATGCAGTAATCAGTCACTGTGTCCAGAATCACAAGCCCAGATCCCAACCCAAAAAGCAGCACTCTGGGCTGAAGCGATAGCACAGCGGGGAGGGCATTTGCCTGGCACGCGGCCGACCCAGGTTTGATTCCCAGCATCCCATAGGGTCCCCCGAGCACTGCCAGGAGTGATTCCTGAGTGCAGAGCCAGGAGTAACCCCTGTGCGTTGCCAGGTGTGACCCAAAAAGTTAAAAAAAAAAAAAAAAAAAAAGGAACCCTCGTAGTTTCTCCATGGACAGCTGGGAATCACGTTCAGGTTTTGCAGCTTCACTTCATACTTGGGAGAAATGTAGACAGTTGGAGGTTTCTAGGTTTTTTTTTCCCTTTATTAATTTTTCATACTATTTACATCAATTCGCATGTACTCCTTAGATGTCTCTCCTACGACCACTGATGTTCTAATGGACTTTCTGGCCGTTAGCAGATTAAGACTCCGGCCACGGTTTGGTCGCAGAAGCTTGATCCAGATGCTTCCAGCGCTTAGACGGCCGTCCCAAGGCTGTCCAGGGTGAATGCCCCACACTGAGACGTGGTTTTAGTAGGTGGCCATGAGCAGCGGCCGAAAACACTGGGTCAAACTTGCTTTGTGATCTTTTCAGCAAATGATTACTCTTCTTAATACGCCAGATGAGAAACAATTTAAGATTCATTGATACGTACTGAGAAATCTACAACTATTTTATCATAAATTATACAACAAATTTGGTAATTATGTAACACTTAGGGATTGTATAAAATATAGTCTTATAATTTTAGGTTTCAGTATATAACCATGGAACACTTAGCTCATGTGCGGTGTAACAATTACATAAAATAGTATGTCTGAAAAAATGTGAAATGTACTATCTAAACTTAATGATAGCTACAATGGCAAAACAGAAAATAGAAGTTATTACCCGTCACTTGGCAGCTAAGTTGGGAGGCCAGGAGTATAATCAAAGCTCACGACACCCCGCTAGTTCTGTACTCTTAGTTTGAAGTCAGATTTGCTTCAGTACAAAGAAAATTCTTACCCCTCAATAACTATCATTAGGCTTCGACGAAAGAGAATTTGTCAGCAGAGCAGAAATTGCTAAGTAGGCTTCCCAGACAAATTAACGCTCATTGAAGTGGAATCAGATCTTGGTGTATCACATCTCGAGGTGTTTTTAAAAATAGTTTCACCCAGGCAAATTATTGATAGATGCCTACCCCCGCAATGAGGAGGAGACTGTAGGCCAGAAATAGTCCCTTGACGTTTTAGGAAGTTGAGACAGTCTCAGAAAACTCCAGGTTCCATATGGATGCCATGAGTTTATTTGAAACAGTCTGGTTCAGAAGTAGACCTGCTTTGTGAAAGAATGACTGTGTATTCCAATAATATAGGAAATCAATAGTGAAAGATCCCAGATGAAATAAATTCAAGATGCCTTCCAGGTCTGTCGTCCTTAACAAAATCATCATTTCTTAATAATGTATTCCCATCCTTATTCAAGCACTAAAGCCATATAAAATATGATATATCAAAGCAAGTCCATTCATTAGATTTTATTTTTTTTTAGTGAAGCAAAAGAATTTTATTAAAATAGATTTATTAAAGTGTGAGGGGAGAGAAAAAGAGGGTTACCATATGTGTTCTGGAGAAAACACGGGCTTCTCCAGGGTGGAAAAAAGCAGAGCGTGGCTTAGGAGGAGGCAATATACAATTTCTCCAAATTATCTTGGCCCGGAGTTCTCTGCCCACATGAGAGTGAATCTGGTGTTGTCACAGCGACAGCCTTGGACTCCCAGTGGTCCTTTCGTGTTGGGTAACATAATTTTCAGGACGTTTAGAGTCTCCTGGACCCTCCCCTTCTCCTGAGGGTCCACACTTTCCAGGTGGTACCTGAGTTTCTCTCTCGAAGGAGATTAGGACTCACATCTCTAAGGGAAGCGCTCCCCGTGCCTTTTTTTTTTTAATTTTTATTAGAGAAACACCATGAGGTACAGTTGCAGACTTACAAATTTTTGTGCTTGAGTTTCAGTTATACAATGATCCAGTACCCATCCCTCCACCAGTGCCCATTCTTCACCACCAATGATCCCAATATCCCTCCCATTCCCTATCCCCCATCCTACCCTGCCTCTGTGGCAGGGCATTCCCTCCTGTTCTCTCTCTCCTTTTGGCACCAGAACTTTTTTTTGGACTGCTTAGAGGCTCGTCATTTTCTTCTCGTTTAATTATTTCCTAAAAACCGCATCTGCCTGCAGCATTTCCCCCTAGAGATTTCATCCCTTGAAATACTTACAGGGTCCGTGGGTTAACGTCTGGCGTCCGTGACGTCTTCTTGCTGGCAACGGGTGTGTGTACCTACGATGACAGGATGGAGTGAAATCTCATACTCACTTCATACTAACTGGGCCCTGGCAGAGGTGGATTGGGGTTCGAGAGCACCTGATTAGATTTGGAGGAGGAAAAGTGTGTTTTTCCCTGACCTGGGAAGACCGGGGCATTCTAGTAAGACGGTGGTTTCAGTGGCCGTTTTGCTTTCCTTCTTTTGCACGCTGGGAAACGTGGCAGAAGGAATCATTTTCTGGTTTCCCTGGTCACCTGTGTGAGACATGTTCCAAGTCAGCAGGCGTCTCACGTGGCTCTTGGTGTTGGGAGAGAAGTTGCAAGTCATGCCAGCTCCATGGGTTCAGAGCAATATTTGGGTTCTCTCTCACAGTCTGCTCTGGGGGACGCTGAGGAGAGACGAAGGCAGCTAGAACCCCTTGAGCTGTTTGAGGGCCCGAGAAGGCCCCTTCCACGTAGGCCCTGGTTGATCTGAGCAACTTCAGGCGGCTTTTAGTAGCGAGACCCAAATGCCAGATTGGCTCTTGAACTTTGGTTGGGGTTAATTCTCTGTTGAGTGAGGTATAACGGTAGTTCCGTATATTTGAATTTGACTATTTAAAATTTATGCTTATTTTTAAATGGTTTTTAAAAGGTAAAAATAATAGTACTTTTCTATAGAAAAAAATTAATATGGCTGTCCCCAAAAGATGCTTAAAATGCAAAAGAGCAAAAAGCACCTTTACTGGTGTGTTCTGGTCTCTATGTGAGAATAGTAATTTAATGGTAATATTAATTTAATATGGTAAATTAACCATTACAGATCATTGGAGAGACCTTTTCATTTCAGTTATTTTCTTGGAAATCATATTCAGAATTTATTGTTCATTTGTATTCTAGAGCTTAAACCAATTGTCACAGAAATATTCATGAAGGAACAAGAACAAAGTCATGATAACTTAATTATATTCTTATCGAAGTTCTGCTTCCCTCTCTTTATATGTTAGTGGAAATAAATCTAATATCCGTCTTAAGAGAACTATGATTAGTTAATACGTACTATAAAACAGATAAGGAGGGACTCAATAAATGTATAGTGCAATTACTAACAGTTTCAGTGGATCTGGGAAAAAATCTCAGGAGTTCCAACTAGCATTATTTTTCCTAATCAGAAATATGCTGTTCACATCAATGATTGGCATTCTTTTACCTCTTTAATTTGCAATGTGATTCTAAAATTATCCAGCTCTTATTACTAAACTCATAGAAGATTAACACAGTTTAACATAATACTTGTAGCAAGTTTATTACTCCCAGCTTGTTTGGGATTTGAGTTTTATAAATAACACATTATGAAATACTTTTAATATTTGAATTGGTCTCTAAAAATGGAAAAAGCTATACAAAAAGGAAAGTGGCTCAAATGTCTGAAAGAAAAACATCAATTAATTGCTAAATAACTTTAAAACTTAAGATTCACTGTATACTTTCCAAAACTGAATTTCCGTATTTCATGTTAATTTTTATGAATATCTTTGGGCTTGGCACTTCTCCACAAAAAATAGTATATGTCTTATAGCTTGTAGAATAATACTCAGATGAAACTATTTTTTTTTCAACAAATTCATAATCTCCTTCTCTCTTTCCAGAAGACTAAATTAGGCAGCTCAGATCTCCCACTTCCTTTGGGAGATTGGAACTCTGTTTGCATCAGAGTTTTTACACTTTTCCAGAACAAAAATTTTCCTTTCTTCTCTCCAGCTTTTCTAAAGTAGAGAGTCAACTTCAGATGTTCACAATTAGACACCTCAAAAGCCCCTTAGAACTTGGTTCCTTCTAGCCTGGCTTTGCAGCCTCTTTCGTTACAGAATTCTTTGAGAGGAACTAATGTTGGGTTAGTTCTTCTGTCTTAATAACCTCTCCTTCTAACATTATCTTACCCTTCACTGAAATCACTGGAAGAGATCTTTTCTTTCATACATTTATTTTTATCTCTGTTACTTTGGTTTTGCAGGCCAGGCCCACTGATGCTCAAAGTTTACTCCCGGCTCAGTGCTCAGGGATCACTCCTAGCAGTGATGGGAGGACCATATGTGGTTCCAGGTATTTGAATGAACCCATCTTAGATGCTTACAAGAGAAGCATCTGACCACCTGTACTATCTCTCCAACCCGTTCTTTTTTATTTTTTAAAAAATTACAGAATAAAAATCGAAATGTCTAACTTTTCAGATAATTACAACTTATCCTATATTAAAAAAAATGCAGTGGAATGAAATTACCGTGGAGAATAACACGTGGAGAAATACCGTGGCAAGTAACGCAAACAATTCTTTGTGAAACTACAACCAACAGTGTTTAATCAGCGATTCATTTCTTTTAAGTGTTGGGATTCTGCTTAGAACTAAAATTAATGCTAATCTTAAAACTGAATTTAGACTAGGAAACATTTTACTTTCAAGTGCTATTTCCAATTTTGTATGCACTCAATTTTATGTCACCAAACCTTAATAGCTCAAACCTTAATAAATATTTAGATCATCTTATCTAAGCGTCTTGGATAGAAAAAGGTATACTTATGTGCA